CCGCGTCAACCACCGGTGGCTGACACTGAAATTACATTTAGGCTGCGTCTGCCACCACTTGCTGACACTAACCTTTCACATAGGCGGTGAAAAACAGCTGGTTGACAGCGTATAACATGATGTAGAACTATAAAATTTACACTCTTTTATGGAATTGCAGAAAATTTATTTAAAATTTACTTATTACCTTTCCCGTGTAGTAAATGGTGACTGAAGCACGTTAAATCTGTCGAGTCCCAAAGTCCTCCATGTTCCCATAACAAATCAAAACCTCTGGGGGTACCGATCCAGGAGTTTCCTTGTCTTCTGGATTGGTTCAAAATTACAAGGCTACGGCGTTGAACATTAGTAGTCGTAAACCCAAAAATTAAGTCGACTGTTCAACGGCGGTCATAAAATAAAATAAAATTTACTTAATTATTGTGATTCTTGGTTTAATAAATTCAATTTAGTAGATTTTTATCCACCATTATTTCTAAAAAAATTGTAGACTTATATAAATCACCAATTTCATGAAACGTGTCAGACTAAACCTTTAAAAAAACTAGCAAACTCAGACTAATATTAGCAAATTTAGTTCTTTGTTATTTTCCATGATTAAATTAGCGTAGCATTCAACATGCTAATAAATGACCATTAACGTAAATTTTGAAGAGACACGATAATATGAAGAAATATATACGGATTGTGTGCAATATATACGGATTTCATGATACGGATTGTGTGCAATATTTCATTCTTGAATTTAAAGTGGTAATAAAATGCTAATTTTCTTTTTAATTATTTGATTTTTCATTTATAAGGGTTTTGATCTCAACTACATGAAATAAACAAACCATATACTATATATACAAGTTTCTTAAACGAGAGATTATTTAAGCCCTGGCAAATATTTTATTGTATATAGTTAGATAAACAGTTTTAATCAAGGAGGTAAACTTGGTGGAGTAACTGAAATTTTCACGCTAGAAAGAACTTGTACTTCTGATTTTTAAAATGTTTACTTTTTGCTGTTCTTATACTGAACTTGATCTCATTTTTTTTATAGTTTCATTTCAACAAGAGGAAAACTTCATATCAAGTTTAGATAAAACATCACATTTTGATCAACTCAAAATTCAGAACAAGATTGTTATCCTTAAAATGGAGCTATATTTTTATATTATTGCATTTACACTAGTGGAGAGAACTTACGGATAAAAAATATAACCTAACGCAATTCAGTAAAATTGGAAAATTTAGCTACCAGCCTATAGTGTCATTTTTAATAGTGACTAGTATTGGAAACACATGGTCACCTATTCAAAGCATAAAAAAAAATTTCTTGAAAAAAACTATACATTTTATAAAAGTAAAGCATAGCTTTTAAAGCATTTGATAAGCATTAAGTATTATACAGTACGGTCATAAAGTTTATTAAAGATCATAAAGTTTATTTCTAAAATAAAGAGGAATTTTTTTGACCTTTACAAAAAGGTTTATGTTACATTTAAGCATTGTATATAATGTTTTCAACTAAAAAATTTAAAAAATAAGTACTAGATAAGTGCCGTTGTTTATAATTTCTACATAAATACTTTTGAGTGAATAATAAATACATTTCCTTTTCGTTATTCATAGTATAATTTATATTCTTACATTTTAAAAAAATTAAACATATTATGGTGCGAATTAAGTAAATTATTTCGTATTAAAATAATTGGTTAAAATAAGTATTTGTACTTGTATTTGGATGTAGTCATTAAGTGAAAAAACATTTTATTATGGATTTCGACAGAAACAAATTTAAGCTGGTAGCAGGAATATGAGTAATTAAATTAAGGGGAACGTAATCATTAGGGAAAAGTGGTAGTATTGGGTTGTTCGGAAAGTAATTTCGTTTTTTTTTGGGGGGGGGGGAATGAAAGCCAATTTTCGTATAATGAATAAATATTTTATTAAGTTATATATTGGCTATTCTGGTCCAACACCTTTTGCCATCTGTTTGGTAGTAGCATGATTCCACGATCATAAAATATTTGGTCTTTGCTAGCAAGAAACTGATTCAGGTGATTTTTGACCTCTTCATTTGAAGTAAAGGTTTTACAGTCCAAAAAAGTTTGCAGTGACCGGAACAAATGATAATCTGAAGGTGCCAGATCTGGAAAATATGGTGAGCGTGGTGGTGTATCCCATTAAAGCTGTCAAAGCTTTTGGCGAGTGACCAAACTGGCATGAGGTCTCGCATTTTCTTGGAGGAACACTATACCTTTTCTTTTGATTAATTCAGGCCTTTTCTGCTCATCGTTCAAGTGCATCAGTCAGTTTGACCAGTTGACGACAGTAGACTTCCGAATTATTTGTTGTGTTATCCGGTAAAAGCTCAACAGAAAAAACTATTCCCTTAAAATCCCAGCAAACAGACAGCATCACATTTTTTTTCATGGATATTGGCTTTCGAAATGCTTTGAGCTGGTTCATCTTTTTTGCTCCATGATCTCTAACGTCCCCAGTAGTGATACGCTTCAAACATGGATCATTTCGCGACGTTTGAGAAGCGAATCACAGACTTTAACGCCCTCCTGACCAAACTATTAGGACCATATTTGCCAGATTGTGACTATCCCCTATATTTTGGCAGTTAGGAACGTAATTAGGAACATAAATAACAGAAGATTTTTAATTTCCCCGAATAATTTCATAGTTGTTCTTAGTTTCTAATCATCATGTGAACCAAATTAGGAACATAAATAACAGAAGCTTTTTAATTTCTCCGATTATTTTCATGGTAGTTCTTAGTTTCTAATCATCATGTGAACCAAATTAGGAACATAAATAACAGAAGCTTTTTAATTTCCCCAAATAATTTCATAGTTGTTCTTAGTTTCTAATCATCATGTGAACCAAATTAGGAACATAAATAACAGAAGATTTTTAATTTCCCCGATTATTTTCATGGTTGTTCTTAGTTTCTAATCATTATGTGAACCAAATTAGGAACATAAATAACAGAAGCTTTTTAATTTCTCCGATTATTTTCATGGTTGTTCTTAGTTTCTAATCATCATGTGAATCAAATTAGGAACATAAATAACAGAAGCTTTTTAATTTCCCCGATTATTTTCATGGTTGTTCTTAGTTTCTAATCATCATGTGAACCAAATTAGGAACATAAATAACAGAAGCTTTTTAATTTCCCCGAGTATTTTCATGGTTGTTCTTAGTTTCTAATCATCATGTGAACCAAATTAGGAACATAAATAACAGAAGGTTTTTAATTTCTCAGATTATTTTCATGGTTGTTCTTAGTTTCTAGTCATTATACGGATAAAAATATGAAAATAAAAGCAACTTTTTAGAGCCTCACACTATTTTAATAGCTTTAGGTAGTTTATAAACGTCATCTGGGCCAAATTATGAACATAAATAAGAAAAAGCTTGACCAAAACAGATTGCTTGTTTTTTTTCAGAAAGAAAAAGAAACGTTGGTTTCATAAATGCTGTTAGTAGGGCGATTGACTTCTTAATACAAATTTCAATTACTGATGACGAAAATGAAATAAACTTAGACATTTTAATACCCTTGGGACCCACGATACATATTATTTTTCTTAAAGAAACTATATCTATAGAAAAAAATCTATTTCCAAAACGTTAAAGAGGTATCTTCAAAAATACAATACTACTAAGGATTATACAAACATTTACTAGCACAGTTGTAAATTTTTAAGACCCATTTAAACCTTGAGCATCAAGGTGATCTGGGTTATTTTTTCTTCATCTTCATATAACTTACTGTAATCGCTTTTCTGATTGTTCCAAGTTATCCGTTAAAAATCGGACTTGAAAATTGTCAATAATTTTTGTTTTACTCTGTATTTTTTTGCAAAATAAAATATCTTTGTTTAATTTGCTGTTAAAAGTTAACGCATTGCATTCTGACAACTTTTTCACAAAAAATGTATTACAGTTGTTATAGGTTAAAATTTTAAAAAAGTGGTAGACAAGATTTCATAAAAGTTGGAGCAAACTTATCACTATGGCTACGATTTCACGTTTCAAATTTATGACAAATTGTTTGTCATAAATTGCTATATTGTCATAAATTGCTATATTGTTTGCTATAACTAGTAGTTTTGCTATAACTTTTTAAACTCTTGTATGGATCACGGAAATTTCACAAACATATTTTTAACATATTTATAAATACTTGCAATGTGTCAAAACGTAAACACAAAACTATTTCCTATACAAGTAAATAACTGTAAATATATATCGGTAATCACGGAGTTTTATTCCTCCGAAAATAAGCCAGAATATAAATGGCTTTATTACCAGTTTTTTTCTCTTTTTAGGAGTACAAGCAAGCCCTGTTTATAATAATTAACACGTTGAACGCCACGCTAATTTTACATGGCTTGCCCGTCTGGCCACAACGGTAAATAACTACAACTAAATGTGCAAATTTGACAGATTTTAGTACTTTTTTAAAAGGTTTAGAACGGCATTTCAGAAATAAGGTGAATTATATAGCCTTACGAATTGTTTAGAAAAAGTGGTGGATAAAATCTACTAAAATGAATTTACTAAACCAAGAATCACAATTAATAAACTACCACTTGAAAATATTTATTCACTGTCCGTATAAGTTGGCATTGCTGTGTAAATAAATAAAACTATTTTTGAATGTTCTATATTGCATTATTTTCTTCAAATCATTTTAGCCACGATAATAATATAAAAATATTAAAAATTTACTCGAATTATGTGTTTCTAATATCCTTGGCACCGGTGACCCCCATGGCGTTCAACGTGCTAAAAATATACCGTTTCTAACCCATTCAGCAAATTGACTCACTTATCAAAATGAACATAAATAAACTAAATACATTTAGTATTCACGAAACTTCATTTTAAGCGTAAGAATGACGTTGCTTTTCTAGCGATCGCAAATATTATACTAGTGAATAACAAAAAGAACGAACAAACGAAATATGCGAACAATACTTTCCACGCCGGATGTGTGTCGATGTAATTTCTTTTATTTCCCTCTAGATAAAAACAGTTTTTTTTAGTTGGAAATGCCCCGCGTATCCTCCGGATTTCGTAACTATCTTCCTTAAATCTTGTTCTGAATCTCGATGCTGATAGCTGCTGAAACGTTTAACATCCGTTCGTATAATGACTAATGCGTTAATTGTTTAGTAGCAATCTTTTATCTCTATAATTTGTGGAGGAGTTACTATGTATAATTTTTGTTCTAGTTAAAATGAGGGTAAGTGTGCATGTTACGTTTTTTTTTCTATTTAAAGTGGAGTCTCCGCTGACCTTGAAAAATTTTAGTAGTGGTAGAAAATTTTGGAAAACAAATTTTAGTGGTTGTTACACAGAAATTAAATTATCGGCAATTGTTTAATTTTTGTTATCACTTTTTAAAATTTACAAAGCCCGCAAAACCCTGACTGTAATACCACCGTAAACTTTATACTGAAACAATTGCCGGTATGTTACGTCGTTCCACCTAAAAATGTAAAAAGTGGTAGAAACTTAATTCATTTTTATTTATTTTCTATATTATTGTCCATTGTACCACCGTGTATTACTAGTGATATACATTTAATTTCCCTACGAATTATCCTTAATAATAAATTGAAAAAAGTACCTCATAAAGTGCTGCTAATTTTGACCTTGTTTAATCTATATTTGATTTTTATGGTTTATCACTTTTTGCATATTTAGACACATGTATCATTCACTTTTTGTCCACTTTAGTTTTTTTTATTATACCGTAGTTATAGTCCGATTTGGTTTTCTTACTTGTCTTCATAGCTACCAACTTGCACGGTGGTTGAAAAATAATTTTCTTAGTGGTAGAAACATTAGCGTTTGTAAACATTGAAGTTTAAAGTTCCAAACAAAAAAAAAGTTTAACTACCACGACGAATCAATAATTTAAAAAATATGTAAATAAGATCTATTTGTAGTAACATTAAATTCACTGCCCTTTAAATAGTTTCAATTTTAGAAAATTCTTCCAAACTTAATTTTTGTTTGACTGTTAAATCTTTTTCAACGACCTCACAAGTTGATAGGTATGTATATTGATTGTCTCATTAAGATTTTAAAATTTATACTGTAATGGTTGTCTAACATTATATGTTTTTCTACATTGATTTTCTGTTTAAAATGTTTACTGGTATTGGAAACTCAATACTGAAACGAATATCAGAAATTTGGCTTTATTTTTAATTTTGAAGCGTAACTATTGACCGATTTGATTTTTTTTTTAGTTGTTCCAAATTGATTGTCTCCCATTTTATTTATAGCAATACAGTTGTCATTTTATATTCTTTTCGTATAGTAAAAATTAAAATATTTTTGTACGTTTTAATGTTTAAAGTGTTTACTGATATTGAAAACTCAATACTAAAACGAATGTCTGATTTGACTTTATTTTTATTTACCTTTAATTTCAAAGCGTAACTATTGTCCGATTTGATTTTTTTTTTTTAGTTGTTCCGAATTGATTGTCTCCCATTTTATTTACAGCATAAGAGTTGTCACTTTATATTCTTTTCGTTCCATAAAAATTCGAGTATTTTTGTCAGGTTTTACGTATTAAAAGTGTTAAGTGATATAGGAAACTCAATACTAAAACGAATGTCCTATTTGACTTTATTTTTATTTATTTTTAATTTTGAAGCGTAACTATTGTTATTCTTTGATTTTGAAGCGTAACTATTGTCCAATTTGATTTTTTTTAGTTGTTCCGAATTGATTGTCTCCCATTTTATTTACAGCATAAGAGTTGTCACTTTATTTTATTTTCGTGTCGTAAAAATTAAAATATGTCTGTCACGTTTTACGTTTTAAAAGTGTTTAGTGATATAGGAAACTCAATACTAAAACTAATGTCCAATTTGACTTTATTTTTAATTTTTAAGCGTATTTATTGTCCGATTTGATTTTTTTCAGTTGTTCCGAATTGATTGTCTCCCATTTTATTTGTAGCATAAGAGTTGTCACTTTATATTCTTTCCGTATTGTAAAAATTCGAGTATTTTTGTCGTGTTTTACGTTTTAAAAGTGTTTAGTGATATAGAAAACTCAATACTAAAACTAATGTCCGATTTGACTTTATTTTTAATTTTGAAGCGTAACTATTGTCCGATTTGATTTTTTTTTGTGTTGTTCCGTATTGATTGTCCCCCATTTTATTTATAGCATAATAGCTATCCAACGTTTTNGTATTGTAAAAATTCGAGTATTTTTGTCGTGTTTTACGTTTTAAAAGTGTTTAGTAATATAGGAAACTCAATACTAAAACTAATGTCCGATTTGACTTTATTTTTAATTTTGAAGCGTAACTATTGTCCGATTTGATTTTTTTTTGTGTTGTTCCGTATTGATTGTCCCCCATTTTATTTATAGCATAATAGCTATCCAACGTTTTATACTTTTCATTCTACTTAAAATTAATAAGTATACTGACTAAACTTATTCTGGATTAAAGTTCTGTTTATTAGTATTGCAAGCTCTATACCAAAATGATAACCCGTTTGAAATCGTTTTATTTGTACTGTATTTGTTGTTCCCTTTATTTCTTTATTGTTTTCATTTATTCCGTAAAGGTTGATTAAATTTAAATGTTTTTCATTAAAAAAAAATAGACTAAAAGGCGAGTTATGCCTTTTCTTTATAAAGTGTTTATTTATTAATATTGTTAACTTTATACTATACTGAAACGAATGACAGATTTATTTTTTACTGTGCCGTAATAATTTTAATTCATCTCATCGTTTGTTTAATTTTTCTTAAAAATATTTATATTACTAGTGGGCTGCGCCCCGTGATCGCTATCGCTCTCCAACCCCCAAAAATTGCTACGCAATCTTATATGGTTTGCTTCGCTCACTACTAACTTAGGTACATTGCAAATGCACAAAATTCTAAGAATTCAAAACAATCATTCAAATCCATATAAAAACTTTTTTTTAAAAAAAAATTACATCTTTTTAGTAAAGACTAAGTCATTAAAATAAATTTGAATTCAAATAAATGACATGTAATTCGTTAAACCTATTAGAAATGTGCTATAGTATAATTCGTGATATAAATCAAAAATCGTCAAATAAATTCGTAATATATAAATTCGTGAAAAAAAGCGCTTTCGACAAAATACTAAAATAGAGATCTATCGACAAAGACTACTCACTTCTGCCTAGCTTATGCTCTCTCTGGTTATTTCAGTTTCCGTTTTTAAAAGCGCTATATGTTGAGCCACCTCAGCTAGATTTGGCATGTGACATTTTTAGCGGCAATCATTGGTCGATTTTCTAGCGTTGCCATTCGGGGAATTGTAATGAGGCTCTTTTTTGTTGCCGTGTAAGAGAAATATATATATAGATGTAAGAGAAATATATATATATATAGATTAGATCAGAAACACATCATTAAAAGGCAGAATGCTTTGGTGTTTTCAAAACGTAAACAAACAAAAAAACAAACTTTGCCACCGGCGGAAAAGAAATACAGCCAAAATTTGGGAGCCACGTAATAGAATTATATATATTAGATATTGATTATTTAATTTCTTATACTTTCCGATCTACTTGAAAATAGAGTAGATACCTATGTTTGTTTTTTTCTCTTTTTTTGTAAAAAATGCTATTTGCAGTTAATCTAAACATTCATCTTAAACTTTATATCGTTATATAAACCGATTAGACTTTTTTTTTTCATTTGGGATTTTTTATGTGGTCAGGATAGATTGTCAAAGTGGTTTTCTTTTTTCGTTTTAATTTATGCTGTTGTGATTATCGAACTTTATTTGTTTTCGTTTGACCTATGATTAGATTGAATAATATTCTATCTATTTAAAGTGCTGTCTGTTTACTCGTACCAGAATCTCTAGAAGGTGGTCTGATATGTCTTTTTTCGTATTTCTACCCTAATTGTTGTTCAACAAGGATTTTTTTAAATTCCGCCATAATAACTGTGACAATCGTTTCTTTTTTGTTTATATTTTATGTATTGTACAAGTTGTGCTCTTTTTCTTACTTGTACCGGAAATATTGTCCGCTGTAGGAACATTTTGTACTTTGCTATTAATTAAAAAACACAGACATAATGATTATATTATATAAATGATTTTCTACTAACATATTATTATAAATTTTCTTCTAATTTATTCTAATATTTCTTCTAAATATTAATTACAAAGAAAGAAAAAGAAGAATTAAATTATGTCTATTTCATTGACTTTAAAAATTCTAGTTTTCATACCTGTCAGATGATATTATATAATAATTAATAATTCGACTAATTTAAATAAATTAGTTAAAAATAGATTTTCTTCACATATTCTTAACAAGTATTAGCTTTTGGAGCCCGCTCCAAACTGTTCTGACGTTGACGTTCGAAAATAAACTGAGGAGTTTAATCGGTTTTCAACTAAAAGAGAAGAGTATAGCTGTTCTTTCCTTTTTTTCTATTATAAACAAATCGATTTGAGTAGAATTCAAATGCTTTGAAAACAAACTTTTCATTTTAATACAAAATATTTTCCAAAGCTGCACCGACAATATTCTTTTTTACGAATTTTTCATCAAAATAAAAATTTATATAAAATATACGTTTAAAAACTCAGAATTCGATTGGTGGATCTAAAGTAGAACGACCCGCCGGCCGAAGACTCCCCGTGCAGTAAATGGTGACTGATGCGCACGTTAAATCTGTCGAGTCTCTAAGTCCTCCATGTTCCCATAACAAATCAATATCTCCGAATAGGAGATCGCTCGTTCTCTGATTCATGTCAAAATTACAATCTGTGGATGAATGTATGAATGGGTCCGCCCAATAAAACGAGCTGTGACGTGTGTGTGTGGCTGTAGACGAATTCTTGGCCACAGGATGGCTCCACTGAAAAAGCAATAAACGCACAATTTGCCTTAAATTTGCTCGGTTTCACTAAGCAGGCTTGCCCGTGTGGCAAGTGACATTAGAAGCAACAGCAAAGTAGAACGATCAAACTGCATTCAGGAGGAACGTTCGCTATATTTATAAAGTTCGTGAATTATATTTTACTTCAGGATTATATTTTTTTATTGCAGTGTAATTTTCGGAAAGAAATATTTAAAATATTGATATAAGAATTGTTATTAAATAAAAACTAATAACGACACTGGAAAATTATAAATTGAATAAATCGAAAAATCAACTGTTAAACAATAAACAACCGTTTACTGTAAATGTTGACTTTCTCTTAACTGGAAAGAAATTTGGTGCGAACAGAACTTTACGGAACGGAAATGTGTTCCTATTTGAAATAAGGCATCTGACGTAATAGATTTCTTTCCATGCATTTGAATTCGTTTTTTGTTTTCTTTTTCTTTTCCTAACTCAAATATTATATTGTGAACTCTAATGTGGATATTTTTCTAAAATATGTGAGGAATCACATCGACATAAGGGATCATTTCATCATATTAAAAGTTTCATATTAGACAATAATTTTTTTAAAAAAAAATCGAGGATGTTGTTAACAAAATACCTTATATAAGCAGCAAACTTTCTGTAATAATTTTTAAAATAGAATACAAGGCATCAAGATAAAAATTGAATAGTGCCGGAACACGCTTTTGATTATAAGGGATTTCACTTTTTGTTAAGCTGAATATTTTAGCTTTTTTAATAAAGATGTTGTTTCGCTTACGGCATGCTTATCAAAGCGACAATTAGATACTTGCAAACGACGTCAAGCGTTGGTCAACCAATCATGTTCGACATACCCGGCATGGCGATTGGTATTGCCATAAATTGCAATTGCCATAAATTTTGAAGAGATACAATAATATGAAGAAAAATATATTTCATGTTAAAGGTATATGCAAATATATGCATATATGTATATGCATATACTTGCATATATATNAAGATAATGTAAATAAATATTAATCGAAATATATATATATATATATGCAAGTTTTTTAAACGACAGTTAATTTAAGCCCAGGCAAATATTTTACTGTATATAGTTAGATAAACAGTTTTGATCAAGGAGGTAAACTTGATGGAGTAATCGAATTTTTCACGCTAGAAAGAACTTGTACTTCTGATTTCTAAATTGTTTACTTTATTGCTGTTCTTATACTGAAATTGATTTCTTTTTTTTTCTAGTTTGATTTTGACAAGAGAAAAATTTCATATCATAGATGAAACATCACATTTTGATTTTTATCATCTAAAATTCAGAACAAGATTGTTATTTTCAAAATGGAGCTATATTTTTATGTTATTGCATTTACACTATCGGTGAGAACTTACGGAAATCCACTTCTTACTATTTCCAATTCTTCAATGGAACAAACTCAGCCAATTTTCAGTTACGAAAATACTGCCACGTCTAATTTTGATTCTAAGTATGCACATCCTTCTTCACCCAATTTAGATTCTGATCGCACAAATTCTTCTGTATCCGATTCAGATTCAAAGGAGGCAATAATTTTTACATCTAATTTAGTTTCCAATTCCGCAAATACTTCGACATCTAAGACATCTGCCAAGTATATTGCACCTGCATCTAATCTAGATTCCCAAAAGCATTGTGCTAGAGTGATTCTTGACATTAGAAACGTCGAATTCTTGGCAAACGGCAACATGTTCATTCCTTCTTACAATACTACTATCCATCCTTCCAAAATGCATATCATTCAAAATGATAGAAGGATATGTTTTTATCCCACTGAACAATTGAAGAAGGAACTTTTTAAACATTGTGGGACATTCGAATACAATGCTGATGAGTTTAAACATCTTCCGAATGGTTCTGTCATTCTTTTTGACGTTTTACTCGAAGATGAAATATATGAGGTCAACAAAGCGGGAAAACTAGTTCTGTGTTCCATGGATTATTCTGATATAGATGAAGACGAGTTCAACAATCTTTTACCTAAACCTATGGATGATACCAACAAAGCTGCTATGTACATAGGCAATATCGGAAGTGCTATTTCGATACTTGCATTGCTGATACATGTTGTAACTTTTTGCCTGGTGCCATCTTTAAGAAACTTACCTGGATATAATCTGGCCTCTCTAGGTGTTGCTTTCTTAATGGCATATTCTTTTACCTTAATAGGACAAATACCACAAGTGCTTGGAAAGTCTTGCATCTTGGCTGCAATATTGCAGCAATATTTCTTTCTTGTAGCCTTCTTTTGGATGAATGTCATGGCTTTTGATGTGTGGAAGACACTAAGAATGGCAACTGAGAGGTTAATGGTTAGTACTCAAAGTGCACGACGTCGCCAGTTTCTTTGGTATTCCTCTTACGCCTGGTTGGTGCCCTTGTGCATCGTCTCAGTATGTGTTGGCTTGGACAACTCTAAAAATGTATCAGAAACGATCAAACCGTTATATGGAAAGAACGGTTTGTGCTGGTTCACGAACGATGTCGCCAAAGGAATCTTTTTTTCACTTCCCGCATTTGTTCTATTTTTGAGCAATGCTGTCTTCTTTGTTTTGAGTGCTTTTATACTAAAAAATAATACAATGAAACAAAATGTGGAAAGCGACCAACGCCAAACGGCACAACTGAACCTTGTATTGTACATACGATTGGCTGTAATGATGGGTATTACATGGCTCATTGGCGCAATTGGCATTATTTTTTCATATAGTGAAGCTGAATGGCTGCGAGTAGCAAAGCTGGACACCGTTGTATGGTTTCTGTTCGATATACTCAATTCATTGCAAGGTCTTTTTGTATTTTTGCTTTTCACGTGCTCCAAAAAAGTGTTCAAGCATATTCAAGACCGAATGAGCATGAGCACTCTGAAGACTGAAATTGAGAAATATATGTTAGGTGATTCAACTAAATGCATACAGGATTCAACTAAGTTCGAATCAAAATAACTACTAAATTTATAAAAAATATAGTTATCATATAATTGACAAGTTTAGAGGAAATATTTTACGATCATTAAATTTGAAAAACTAATTATACAAATAACAAACTAAAAGTTATAGTTAGCAATAATGATTACAATCATATTCTAATATAGAGAGTGCACATAAAATAACGTGAGATGTTAAGACATCTGTAACAAGTAAAATACTGGGTTGAAATTTGCAACAGAGTATGTGTTTGGTGGTAAAAAAATGGTGCTAAAAATCACGGATCAGAGGAAAATGGGCACTTTAAGCATTAATATACAACTATAACAGCATGAGAATACCGCTACTACAGTTATAAATAATACTGAATGTGACGTTTTATTAACATATTATTATTGTTTCATTTGATAAAGATGTCAATAGTATTCATATTACACAGATCAACGATGACAAATTTTCTTTTATTGGTGACTTTGTTCCTAAATTATTATTTAAAGACCAGCGGCATATTCTGATGAGCTTATATGCCATTTCTTTGTAATTTTGACACTTAAATATTACTTTCGTCATTGCGGAGGATGCCGGAAGTGTTGCTCATTTAATGCTGACCAGTGGGCATTCGTGAACCTGAGTCCCGGCGGCAAGCAATATTAACCACGCCACACTACCACAGATACCCGTTAATAGGGTGGGCTACACCCACACATTGCGCAATAGAGGATAAACACAGTGAGTCACATCCATGCCCAGAACGAGACTCGAACCCGTGACTGTTAGCTTTCAAGTCAGGCCCCTTGACCAGTAATTCTGAACAGTATTCGTTGCTACAGTGCTTAAAACCCATCTCGTATATTTATGAGCAACATGATCAAAAAAATATGCAAATAAATAAAACAAAAAGCAAACATTAAATAGTTAACGTAAAAACAAACTATAAATATTTTGTAAAGCTATGGTTAGGATTTGCTATAGTGGGCTAATTTACTGCGCAAATATAACTTAATTCAGAGAAAGCTTGAGAAATGATTTTTAATGTTAATTTTAAATATTGAAATTGATTCTAACTTCACAATATGCTGATTTATATTTTATTGAAATCCTACAATGAATTGTATATTTGAATTGTAAATAATTTGTAAATTGGTTGTATATAATATTAAAGAATATGTAAATAAATATTAATCGAAACAATACTATGGAATGCTACTTATTCATAATTATTAAATAACAAACTGGTTTTAGAAATACACTGAAACTGATAAACATTTATTAACTTTAACTAAATTTGTTTTCGTATCACTTTGTGAAAGGAAATTATTATTGGAGTTAAAATGTAAACTTTTTATGACTAGCCACAGTGCTAACATTTCAGCTGGAGCTCTTCGCTTTTTATCCAAGATCACAATTTATCGCCGGTGAAAATTTGACAACTTTATTAAAAACAATATTAAAGCGAACAATTTTCGAAAACAGTTTTTAAAAACTATGTTTTTAAAGAGGATACAAATTTTGAAAATGGTTATTTTATTACAACTATGTCGGAAAATATTGATTTTTGTTTTAGGTGTGGGATTGTTTACTATGAATAAGGAAAATAAAATTGTAATCACCTTTTCACTTCTAAATTATTTTAAAAAATTGTACTAAAAAATTTAACCTAACACTATTTGGTAAAATTGGAAAATTTTGAGACAGGCTAAGGCCAATTGTGTCTTTTTTAATAGCGACCACTTTTGGAATTTCTTCTTTCAAAAAAGATTTTAATTAAAGGAACTATTGATTTTTTTAAGATAAAGTACACCTTTTGAAACATTTGATAAGCATTATACCATTAAGTATTATACAGTACGGCGAGCATTATAGAGTTTATTTCTAAAATGAAGAGGAAGTTTTCTGACCTTTACAAAGAGGTTTATGTAAAATTTAAGTATTGTATATAATGTTTTTAACTAATAAAATTAATAAATAAGTACTAGATAAGTGTTGTTGCTTATAATTTCTATGTAAATACTTTTAAGCGAATGATAAATATAACATTTCCTTTTCGTTATTCATAGTAAAATTTATCATTGTTACATTTTAAAAAAAGATCTAATATATATAATTCTCTTACGTGGCTCCCAAATTTTGGCTGTATTTCTTTTCCTAAATGCTCATTTATTCTTAATGAAGAAGTGAGTCGATTTTCTTCTTTTCTTTTTGTGCTTACTCCATTAATTTCTGTTTCGATTCAAAATACATTTTATTGGGTTTATTACCTTTGCTTATATTGGGTTCGTTGCAATTTTTTAAAGTTTTGGCTGATGCTTTGTTGAAATTTTCCATTGTTTTATTGAAATATCATTATGTTTTGGCCGCGATTCCTGTTACCACGGTGCTCCGCGCAAACAGGAGTGGTGCCAAACATAAGTCGCCAATTTTACCAAGGGGCACCCTCAAGTTTTTTTTTACCTATAAACGATATTAGGTTGCTAGAATTAGTTTTTGAATGCTTGTTTTCGTCTATTTTTTTTTCTTCTTAAAAATAAGTGAATAACTTTCAGGGTTACTTGAATTGTACAGTTTCAACTATGTACCAAATATAACAATTTTCATTGAAAATTGCATTTATTAAGTATATAGTTATTTAAAATATGGCTTTCAAACAGCATCTATTGATTTATTTAACAAATTTTAAGTTTTTATGTGCAATAAAACCAATAAATTAAGGCAAGAGATTGGCTGAATAAGTATTCGCCAAACTTATTTCAGAATCGTCACNTTATATGGATTTGAATGATTGTTTTGAATTCTTAGAATTTTGTGCATTTGCAATGTATCTAAGTTAGTAGAGAGCGAAGCGAGCTTGGTTTGCGAAGCGAACCATATAAGATTGCGTAGCAATTTTCGGGGGTTGGCGAGCGTTAGCGAGCAGGGGGCGCAACCCACTAGTTTAATATATTATGTTGAAAATTAAGTAAATTATTTCCGCATTAAAATGTGTTGAAATATGTATTTGTACTTGTATTTAGATGTAGTCATTGAGTGAAAAAACATTTAATTGTGGATTTCGAAATAATCAAATTAAAGCCGGAACCAGGATCATGAGTAATTAAATTAAGGGAACGTAATAATTAAGGAAATGTGGTAGTACAATGTTATAGTGGGATAACAATAACCCAATAGGTTCAAATGATCACAAACTGTGAGGTTTAAACAAATTAGATAAAATGGTATCACCAAATTTGGAATAAGGGTGATTACTAATATTAATCAAGATCACAATATGAGTCAATGACATATAATATCCAAATATTAATATATTATTTAGCGCAATTTAGAGATGTTTCCAAAGAGAAATAAAACAAAAACTCATAACAATAATAAAAAGTACGCACCGCACACAGGAGAAATAAAAAACAACCATCACCAAATGGAGACAAATAAATTCACACATTTTTTTTTTTAAATTCAGCACAACATTTATTTATGAACAAACTCACAATTTTGTTAGTGAAACATATCTTTTGAAAAAATTTGTAACGCAAGAAAGCCTAGAATTAGAAATGGGTGACAAGAGAATTTGAAATACGGCGTCATGCATAAAAATACGATATACGAGTGATAATAAGATGAATGTAGAACGGAAGCTTAAATTTGAAAGTGTCTTTAAAGTTAATGGTATAAATGTAGGTATTCAATTTACAGAAATTAATTACGGTTTGCGGATTTAATTAAAATTATAGGCTAAGATAAGTCCGCATCTCTGAGAGAGAGTACACCCTTTGGTGTAACCAAGCAAGCATCCACGAGAAAGAATGTCTTAAAACTTTTTTTAAACAAATCGTTAACTGGTGTAGATCCCGAAAGACGATCGCCAATTAAATTTAAAGAGAGGATAATTTTAATATCACATGAAAGAGATTAATTAAGTTAGCCCCCCTCCCCCTCTTAAAAAATTAATGGAGTAAAAAGAAAGGCAGATATAGAGGGGTATCTGTCCCCACAAGAAGTGCAATGACCACGTTGACCAACAAAGAAAAGCGAACAGAACGTTAAATTCTTTTGAAAAGAAAAGTAAACACGAACAAAAGTAACGGAAAACAAAAACAAAAGTAAAATTTCGTCAGATAGAATCTTTCTAAAAAAATTATATGTTTTATTTGAGAAAATAAAATCCTAATTTACGAAAATTACTTGGATAATTTCATATAAAATAAATATAAACTGTTTTATAAAAAAGGAAAAATAAAGGTTTTTTTTTAAAGACTAAAAGAGAAGATTTAAACAAAAGAGTATATTGCCACATAGCGCAAAGCATAAATGTGACAATTATATAACAGATTTGAACTATAAGTAAAATCTACAGTTTGTAAAAAATATGACACTTACTCTGAATTGCCGAGTGTTTACTTTTCAAATTAACAGCGCGAACTATATGTACACGGTGCGCCTTAACCAAAGTTAAATAAAATGCTCTTACACCTGGAAAATTAGAAGAGATTCTGAATTTACAATGTTAACAGATAATAAAAATCAAAAGATCAAAATAATCTGTGGAGAGATTTTTAAAAAAATCCACTTTGAACATTTTTGCGCACGAAGTATGATATTTTGGAGAATCTGGCGTTGTTTTATATCAATAGAAAGGAAAAAAATGATATAATAATGATTTTTCAGTTGTAATTAAACTTTTATTATTTAAGCATTTTACTGTTGATAAAATATGAAAATGTAACATAGTTTAATTATAATTGCATCAATTTAAACATATGAAGCATTATATCTACAAACAGCGCTCGAAAGGTGTTTAGGATAATCCGGATGATTTGCAGCAACCTTATTCATTTCCCAGGAAGACTTTAAGAAATCAAAATGTACGGACTCCATCGCCTGCTCCCCAAAAAATGCTAATCCTTTACCGTTTTTGTCACAGAACTGTTCAATGTGAAAAAAAACTGCATGAACCTTTGGTGTAACGCTGACACCTAAGTCCATGTAGCTCTTTTTGAAAGCTTCTATACATGCTTTGTAATTTTGGTCAAGATTATTTCCGAAGCATGCAGAAACCACTTTTTTGAAGTCGTCAAATACTTTAACGTACTTCAGTATTGCTAGATTTTTAAACTGGTGCAGAAGTTCTTCTTTATCCAAAAGTGTTTTGCATGCATTTCCTTTAAACCCAGAACATCCTCGTCTGATTTCATGCTGAACGTGACAAGCTTTTGTCCATGTCAGCGATTCATTTTCACACTCTTTCAACATATGCGTGAAAACAGTGTTAACAACACCAAGCATAAGGTGTAATTCTGGCGGTGGAATAATGTCTAGGAATGTTTTGCCTCCAACAGTTGCAATTAGCGGTGGATGAATGCAATTGAAATAATCTTTCGCTTTGTTTTTTGAACCTTTTCCTTCAGTCAGCCAACTTGTATAATACGATGAAACATTTTCGGGGGATCTCAATTCGCCACAGCTGCTTAGCTCATCTTTCTTGGCATAACAATAAGTGCATGGGTATGCGCTGCTGTGCGACATTATACCTGCTAAGATATTCGCTAACTTCAAATCGGTTGCAATTGTGCCGTGGAAAGGACTTATATTCAACGTTGAAATGAGTTGATCTACATTCTTATAATTTTCTTGTGCACTCGGAACGGCTGCTAGAATGAATAGTCGTTTAACTCCAGAATCCTTAAATTTCCTTGCAGCTATCCCCTCATCATACTTAGCACGCTTACAGCTGCACTCGAAGTCCAACTCATTTGATTGTACAGAAAGACATATTTTTAAAAATCCACCTCCTCCATTAATATCCATTTTTAAGTGAACATCCAGTACATCTCGTTTATTTTTCACATACTGAACAAAAGCAGGAACATCTTTGCAGTTAACTCCAAGCGCAGGAGCATTCGAGACTTCATCGCCTTTTATACAAACGAAAGGAAATTCCTTAAAATCAAAATAATCGTCGACAGAATGAGCTGTGATATTAAGTTTTGTTTTTTATCCTGGTTCAATTGCTTTTCTACTTCGTGTACACACACGAATGGAAGCTGCCATTTTTAAAGTCACAGTGCTTGTGCTAATTTCACAGTGCTTGTGTCGCTAAAGTCGATTTAAGTTTTTATTATTTTTGTTTTTTAAATAGTGGTTCATCGACTATAATTAACAATTAAAAAACTTCTAATAATTATAAAATTTATTATGAACTGTTATTATGAATATTTAATACAAATATATTATTTTTTTTTCTATTTATAAGTATAAAATGATGCTAACATTTTTGAAATATCGTACTTCGTGAGCAAAAATGTTCAAAGTGGATTTTTTTAAAAATCTCTCCACAGATTATTTTAATTTTTAGATTTTTATTATCTAAGAACATTGTAAATTCAGAATCTCTTCTAATTTTCTAGGTGTAAGAGCATTTTATTTAACTTTGGTTAAGGCGCACCGTGTGTATCCCGTAAAAAGGTCAAATGTAATGAGCAAAATAGTCAAAATAAAGAGAGACTTCATTTCTTATAAAAAGATACAATCGTTCCTGAATAAAGATCGAATCGTTAAAAATACGATTTTTTTAAAACTCGATTTCTCAGGAACTATTCGACCGATTTCGCTCAAATTTTGCATTTAGCTATTCAAAATTGCACTATTTAAAATGACGTTAAAAGTGCATTATTTTTTAAACTATTATAAAATATAATAAAGAAATAATAAATATTTACCGAAAGTTATATTTTGCATAAAATTATCTTC